GTTTTATGTTATGAGTGCTTAGTGTATATTTAGTTGATGTTTTTCTTAGTTCATATCTTAGATGTTATTACTGTTTTTCTTAGACATTTTATTGTTGGATGTAACTGGGACCCTGTGTACATAATTTCGCTCCACCACATGTACCACATGAGGTGCGAATGACAATAAAGAAACTCTGACTCTGACTCTGAAAAGCAGGGGGGAAAGCACACAGCCCTGTGGAGATCCTGTGCTTATAGTCCGAGTGTCCGAGACAGCTCTCCCCAGCCGCACGCACTGACTCCGGTCTGTCAGGAAGTCTGTGATCCACCTGCAGGTGGAGTCAGGTACATGGAGCAGGGAGAGCTTGTCTTGGAGCAGAGCAGGGAGGATGGTGTTAAATGCGGAGCTGAAGTCCACGAACAGGATCCTGGCGTAGGTTCCTGGGGAGTCCAGGTGCTGCAGGATGAAGTGAAGAGCCAGGTTTACTGCGTCATCTACAGACCTGTTAGCCCTGTAGGCAAACTGCAGGGGGTCCAGGAGGGGGTTGGTGATGGACTTGAGGTGAGATGAAACCAAGCGTTCAAAGGTTTTCATGACTACAGACGTGAGAGCTACAGGTCTGTAGTCATTTGGTCCTGTGACACGTGGCTTCTTGGGGACAGGGACGATGATGGAGGACTTGAAACAGGCTGGGACATGGCATGACTCCAGTGAAGAGTTGAAGATCCCTGTGAAGACTGGAGCCAACTCTCCAGCACAATGTCTCAGCGTGGAGGGTGACACAACGTCTGGGCCTGCAGCCTTATGTGTATTCAGCCTTTTAAAAAGCCTCCTTACTTCATCCTCTTGTACAGAGATAGCAGGGGGTTGTCGGGGGCAGTCCCAAGTGGTTAAACCAGTTGGGCTGGGGGTGGTGTGGAGGATGGAGGAATGTGAGTCCATGACTTCAAAGCGTGAATAGAAGTCGTTCAGATCGTTTGCCAGTTTGAGATTGTCTGTAGAATGAGGTGCTCTGGGCTTGTAATTAGTTATCTCTTTCAGCCCCCTCCAGACAGAGGCAGAGTCGTTTGCAGAGAACTGTTGTTGCAGCCGTGCATTGTACCTGGATTTAGCCTTCGACACCTCCCTGCTAAATCCATACTTCGCACGTCTGTAGTTGTCTCTGTCCCCCTCTCTGAAAGCAGCCTCCTTCTGCTGACGAAGCTGTCTTAGTTTGGATGTGAACCAGGGTTTATCATTATTGAAAATGACTCTGGAGCGTGATGGGATGATGCTGTCCTCACAGAAATGTATATATGACGTCACAGTGTTTGTGTATTCGTCTAGACTGTCTGAAGAAGCCCTGAACAAGTCCCAGTCTGTGGTGTCCAAACACGTGCGTAGCTCCTCCACAGCTTCACTGGTCCACTTTTTGGATGTCCTCACCACAGGTTTTGAGAGCTTCAGTCTCTGTCTGTATGCAGGTATGAGGTGAATCATCTCATGATCTGAGAGACCCAGGGCAGCACGAGGCACAGCACGATAAGCACCGCTCACTGTGGTGTAACAGTGATCCAGCGTGTTTCCTTCTCTTGTCGGGCATTTAATAAACTGTTTATATTTAGGTAGTTCATGCCTGAGGTTTGCTTTGTTAAAATCTCCAAGGATGATAACAAGGGAGTCCGGAAAAGTTTGCTCTACACTCGTAATCTGGTCCGCGAGCGCGCGCTCAGCCTCGTGCACGTCCGCGCACGGTGGGATGTAAACAGCGGCCAGAATGAATGAAGTGAACTCACGTGGAGAGTAGAACGGTTTGCAGTTTATGAAGAGATATTCCAGAGAAGGAGAGCAGTGCTGGGAGATCACTGTCACGTCGGAGCACCAGGCTTTGTTGATAAAGAAACAGACTCCTCCGCCTTTTTTCTTTCCTCCGGAAAGTTCCCGCTGTCTGTCAGCGCGGAGGAGCTAGAAACCCTCCAGATAAAGAGGAAGGTGCAACAAAGAAGGCCCAAGACGATTGAACAGTTAGAGGCCTGTTAAAGACATGAATGGGAGAGCATTCCTATTTCTAAACTTGAGAAACTGGTCTCCTCTGTCCCCAGACGTCTGTTGAGTGTTGTAAGAAGAAGGGGGGATGCCACACAGTGGTAAAAATGGACTTGTCCCAACTTTTTTGGGATTTGTTGACGCCATGAAATTTGGAAACAACAGATTTTTCCCTTAAAATGATACATTCTCTCAGTTTAAACTTTTGATCTGTGATTTGAGTTCTATTCTGAATAAAATATTAGATGTTGGCACCTCCACATCATTGCATTCAGTTTTTATTCACATTTTGTTTAGTGTCCCAACTTTTTTGGAATCCGGTTTGTAGTACGAAACCAGGCTATTAGGACAAGATAGATTACTGTAATTAAGGGAGACATCCAGTTTGTTAAAGAGTAAGAAGAATCAGTGTTCTTGATTACGGAAATAAATAGTTCGAGATGACTGATATCTAGAAATTTGTAGTTTAGCATTAAAAAAAGACCAGTTTATGATATGTATATATATATATATATATATATATATATATATATATATATATATATATCCCTACTTGATCTGTCTCTTTCTATCTGTCCATCTTATAATCAACAAACCAACTTTTCATCAATAACTGAACTTTAATAATCAGTAATCAATAAATCTGATGAGAGGTTTGATGTGTTACATGATGACATAACCCCATCAGCCAATGAGAGGCAAATAGGTAGAACACCTGATTTACTGAATGTCTGTCCAGTCAGATGACAAAGACTGCCGTTTAATGAGGAGGAAGCTGATTGGTAGATGAGCGTTCAAGACCTTTTGCTCTGTCACTGCTGTGATTGGTCAGCATCCCTGAAGCCCTCGCAGGTGATCTGGTACTGGACGATGGTCTCCATGTGACCTGGGGATTTAAGGACTAACGCTAGCCGCTGTGACCCTTCCCACTGTAGGAGGAGCCGGGTGGTAGGGGCGTGCGCCCAGCTGTCTCCAAGTGCCGGCACCAGATGTGATTGGGTGCCTGTCAGCCGAGTGGTCATGTTGTTGGTGAAGACAATAGCAATGTTGTGATTTGTTGCCATGGTGATGAGTTGCTGGGCAAGGCCTCGGAGGAGGCGTGTCCTTTCAGATAGGTCGTCAAACAGCTGCAAGAATGGAAACGCCATGCTGTCAATGACAAGGAGGCGGACCTTGGTTTGCTTCTGCAGGAAGGTGGGTAGAAGGTGGAGTTCAGCCAGCAGCTCCACGTAGTCATGGCAACGCACCTGAGAAAGACAACCAATCAAAATATTTTGAACTAACCAATACATGGCTTTCATGGTAGCATGGACATTAACCAAGAACAACATGGATCAAATTTGGAGCTGCCACTGGGTTGTTTTCTAATGGTTCTACCTGGTTATGTTGTGATGGTTCAACCTGTTTGTGTTGTGGTGGTGGTGGTTCTACTGAGCTAAGTTGGTTCCACTGGGTCAAGATGTAAACATTCTACCGACTTGTGTTGTGATCTACTGGGTCATGAGTAATTGGATGTACCAGTTGGTGTTGATCTTACCAAGAAGATGTTGGATAGGATGTTCTCCACAGTGAAGGTTCCCAAGGCAGCTATTTGTTCCTCATCCTCGGCTAACATGGAGCAGTGTCTGACAGCAGCGGCGCTAATTTCTACAACCCTCTGAAGAACAAAACTGCCCTCAGTGTCCACAAAGATAACCTGACCTTCGAGGCCTCCGAAACATTGGGGGAGTTGGACATCCACCGCCAGCTGTAGGCTGAAGACAGAAAAGGACATCAGTGGACAATAGAACAGAAGAAAACAGGGAAGACAGTCAGCTGCTATAATTTTTCATTCAACCTTTATTTAGACAGGTTAATCCCATTGAGCCTCGAGGACTCATTTACGAGAGACCTGATTTCAATAAAGAATGATGACAACAAAGGACAGTCATAAAAGAGGCGATCCATCCATTTTCTTCTGCTTATCCGGGGTCGGGTCACGGGGGTAGCAGCCTAAGTAGGGAGGCCCAGACTTCCCTCTCCCCAGCCACTTGGGCCAGCTCTTCCGGGGGAATCCCGAGGCGTTCCCAGGCCAGCCGAGAAACATAGTCCCTCCAGCGTGTCCTGGGTCTTCCTATGGGCCTCCTTCCGGTGGGACGTGTCCGGAACACCTCACCAGGAAGGCGTCCAGAAGGCATCCTAAACAGATGCCCAAGCCACCTTAACTGGTTCCTCTCGACGTGGAGAAGCAGCGGCTCTACTCTGAGTCCCTCCCGGATGATCGAGCTTCTCACCCTGTCTCTAAGGGAGAGCCCAGACACCCTGCGGAGAAAACTCATTTCGGCCGCTTGTATCCGAGATCTCATTCTTTCGGTCACAACCCAAAGCTCATGACCATAGATGAGGGTGGGAACGTAGATCGATCGGTAAATTGAGAGCTTCGCCTTTTGACTCAGCTCTCTCTTCACCACGACAGACCTGTACAGCGCCCACTTCACTGCAGACGCTGCACCTATCCGCCTATCGATCTCACGCTCCATTTTTCCCTCATTTGTGAACAAGACCCCAAGATACTTGAACTCCTCCACTTGGGGTAGGACCTCCTCCCTGACCCGGAGAGGGCACTCTACCCTTTTCCGGCTCAAGACCATGGCCTCGGATTTGGAGGAACTGATCTTCATCCCGGCCGCGTCGCATTCGGCTGCGAACCGCTCCAGCGAAAGCTGTAGATCACGATCTGATGAAGCCAATATGACCATATCATCTGCAAAAAGCAGAGACGCAATCCTAAGGCCACCAAAACGGATCCCCTCAACACCTTGGCCGCGCCTAGAAATTCTGTCCATAAAAGTTATGAACAGAATCGGTGACAAAGGGCAACCTTGGCGGAGTCCAACTCTCACAGGGAACAAGCCCGACTTACTGCCGGCGATGCGGACCAGGCTCTGACACTGGTCATACAAGGACCTAACAGCCCGTATCAAAGGGCCCGGTACCCCATACTCCCAGAGTACCCCCCATAAGGCCCCCACAGGGCCCCCCGAGGGACGCGGTCAAACGCCTTCTCCAAGTCCACAAAGCACATGTATACTGGTTGGGCAAACTCCCACGCACCCTCCAGGACCCTGCTGAGAGTGTAGAGCTGGTCCAGTGTTCCACGGCCAGGACGAAAACCGCACTGCTCCTCCTGAATCCGAGGTTCGACTATCTGACGGACCCTCCTCTCCAGAACCCCCGAATAGACCTTACCAGGGAGGCTTAAGAGCGTGATTCCCCTGTAGTTGGAACACACTCTACGGTCCCCCTTTTTGAATAGGGGGATCACCACCCCGGTCTGCCAATCCAGGGGAACTTCCCCCGATGTCCACGCAATATTGCAGAGTTGCATAAGCCAACACAACCCTACAACATCCAGAGCCTTAAGGAACTCTGGGAGAATCTCATCCACCCCTGGGGCCCTGCCACCGAGGAGCTTTTTAACCACCTCGGTGACCTCAGCACCAGAGATTGGAGGGCCCGACCCAGAGTCCCCAGGCTCCGCTTCCTCAGTGGAAGACGTGCCAGTGGGATTGAGGAGGTCTTCAAAGTATTCCGCCCACCGACCCACAACATCCCGAGTTGAGGTCAGCAGCACACCACTCCCACTATAAACAGTGTTGGTGGCGTACCGCTTTCCCCCCCTGAGACGCCGGATGGTGGACCAGAATCGTCTCGAAGCCATGCGGAAGTCGTTCTCCATGGCCTCTCCGAACTCCTCCCACGCCCGAGTTTTTGCCTCAGCAACCACCCGAGCCGCATGTCGCTTGGACTGCCGGTAACCATCAGCTACTTCCGGGGTCCCACAGGCCAAAAAGGCCCAATAGGACTCCTACTTCAGCCTGACAGCATCCCTCACCGACGGTGTCCACCATCGGGTTCGAGGGTTGCCGCCGCGACAGGCACCGACAACCTTGCGGCCGCAGCTCTTTTAAGCCGCCTCGACAATAGAGGCACGAAACATGGTCCACTCAGACTCAATGTCCCCCACCTCCCTCGGAACATGTTCAAAGTTCTCCCCGAGGTGGGAGTTGAAACTCCGTCTCACAGGAGACTCTGCCAGACGTTCCCAGCAAACCCTCACAATACGTTTGGGTCTGCCAGGTCTGACTGGCATCCTCCCCCACCATCGGAGCCAACTCACCACCAGGTAGTGATCAGTTGACAGCTCCGCCCCTCTCTTCACACGAGTGTCCAAGACATGTGGCCGCAGATCAGATGAGACGATGACAAAGTCGATCATCGAACTGCGGCCTAGGGTGTCCTGGTGCCAAGAGCACATATGGACACCCTTATGCTTGAACAAGGTGTTCGTTATTGACAATCCATGACGAGCACAGAAGTCCAACAACAGAACACCACTCTGGTTCAGATCAGGGGGGGCGTTCCTCCCAACCACACCCCTCCAGGTCTCACTGTCATTGCCCACATGAGCATTGAAGTCCCCCA